TGTTTCACCCATGGAGAAATGAGGAGGCCGAGCTCTTAAGTAATGATGTCGAGAGTGTTTGCAACACACACAAGGAACAAATTGAGCAGAATAAGCTCAAATATGACAAATTTTTATCCAGGAGCTTGAACGGATTCTGGAAAACCTGCATGTTTCAGCGGAAGAAATAGCTGATGAGAGAGCAGCCTCTCAACTTTTGGATCCCGAATTCAGAGCTCTCGCTGTACCAGAGCAAGTAGGAGAAGTTAATGTTTTTCACGAGGACAACACTAATGTGGAAGAGGCTGTTCGATTAATTAAACTACCACCTCTAATATTAGAAGGAGACTTACTAGCAATGGTACAATCTCTTAACAACAAGCAGAGGGAATATTTTACTCATGTAATGCACAATGTCAATAAGAAGAAAATCTTCTACGACTATATATCAGTCGTTGACATTGCGCGCTAACAGTGTACCGGAAACTAACCCCGAAACAGCCAAGGTGTTACTCTGCGCACCCACTGGCAAAGCCGCATTTGGAATTGGAGGTCTAACATTTCATTCCGTTTTTTCACTCCCCGTCAACCACTCCTCCGCGGACCTGCGGCCCCTCAATAGTGACACATTGAACAATTTATGCTAATCTCATAGATATTAGACTTATAATAACTGATGAAATTTCAATGGTTGGAGCAAAGATGTTTGCGTATTTAGATTGTAGGCTAAAGCAAATTTTTAGGAGCAGTGCTTACTTTGGAGACATTCCACTTATCGAGTTTGGTGACTTAAAACAGTTGCCACCAGTAGGAGATCGATGGATTGCGCCGAATATCAAAGATAATTACAGTGCAATTACAGGAACTCCGCTTTGGGATCAATTTCGATACTTCGAGCTCACCGAAATAATGCGTCAGCGTAAAGATCAAGAATTTGCCATCGCTTTAAACAACATGTCAGCGGGAAATATGACACACGCTGACTTCCAATTAATCAAAAGCAAGGAAAAGACTTCTAACGAGATACCAAACGAAGCCATCCATCTCTTTTACTCAAATACTGGAGCAAATAATTTCAATTCAACAAAACTGGCGAACACGATGACCGACGAGTCCATTTCGACTGCGAAGGATAAGATTAAGTCAAGTTCCTTAACAGAACGCAGCAGAGCAAACATTTTAGAAGCTGTGAAGGGTTTCAAGCCATCAGAAACACCGCTCAAAACATCGATAAAATGTATGGTAACAGTCAACATAAACACGAGTGATGGATTACTAAATGGTGCTACAGGGGAACTAATGCACTTGGATACCGAATCGTCTGGACCTGAAAGCGCAGTGGTGCGACTATGGATGAAATTCGCAGAACCAAGAGTTGGAAGCTTTGCACGTTCCAAGCAGCCGCATAGTCGCAATGCAGATTGGACACCAATCATGAGCGTGGTCCGATCATTCCAATAYAAGCGAAATGAACAAATAACTATAGAACGTAGACAGTTCCCTGTTATTCCAGCCGAAGCCATCACGGTACATAAAAGCCTAGGTGGAACATACTCTCAAGTTGCGGTTCATCTAGAGGGTAGAATTAGCAGGTCAGCTTTATATGTAGGATGTAGCCGAACCCATTTGGACAGCAAGATCCCATTAAAACTCAACTTAATAAATTGAGGACAGAAGGTGCGTTGACGACATGCAACAGATTTTTAGCCGAAAAATCGGAACAACGCCTGTATATTTATTACCAAAATGTGAGGAGCATTCAAGCATATTGCGGATATCAGATCAGATAAACTGATTTGTTCTGCTGATATTCTGTGCTTTGCTGAGACTTGGGCTTTATCTCAAGAAGAATTTCCAACACAGGGCTATAATGTTATTGCACGCCTTGATGGAGAAACAAGGTCATCCCGACGACGCCCGGCCAACGGCCTTATAATATACTCAAAACAA